ATTTAGTGCTTAAACACTCACCGTGTGGCACGTATTTCTGAGTAAAAATCTTCCAGGTTGCAGGATTGGATGCATTAGATAACCTCTGCAGGGGCAATTGCTATTTGAGTGGAAAACAAAAGAGGAAATTAAGCTGTTAAAGCACAAGTTGTTACAGAACATAAAGTATGTCATAATTTCTAATAATAACAACAAAGCAGAATTTTTTTAAAATGAGTGTTATTTGTTGATATCTGCATTTCCATAGATTTGTTTAGGTGCTCTATATTTAAAACAGCAATGTGCTTCAGCTCCTGTCTGGTGTAAAACCTTAAGAGTAAATTAATGTTGTGGTTTATACTAAATAAAGCCTCCAACTTGGTTTATTTGCATATAATATCTTTTGCGGATTGATTATCTCAGTGATCTTCTCCACCCAGTGTGTCCAAATGTATTAAAAAATGCCTCAGTGTTTAGTGGTTTAGGTTATCTGGCTATGGATTGTTGCCGTTAATTGTTTTAAATAATATCCAAGCATAAACCTCTGTGAGATCAAAATTAACTGTTCGTATTTGGTAACAGCCAACTCATCTGCAGTTATTTATGCCAAAGTCAGCACCTGAAGTAGAAGAAACAGTTTGACTCTCCGGTTAACACAGTTTTACATCTCTAAACAATTACATGGGACCAAAACCGTTTAAACCACAAAGTTCGAAAATGCTGAATACAAGCCAGGAACTCAAGGGGTTGAAGACATATCAGAACTATTTAGCAGAACAAAGGGAAAAAACATGGAGAAGAGACCGTGAAAAAGCGGAAAAGAGAAACCCCTTATTGTAAACGTATGCGTTTTTCTGCTTTTACATTATACTGTAATCTCCCCTTTCCGTAATGCGCATGCGCAACATTCTCTCGCGCTTTAGACGGCTGTATTTTACATTATGTCCGAATCATTGTCTGTTTCATTAAATAATGTAAATCGACAAACCTGATTGATTACGCTGTTTGACCTGAGCGACTAAAACCAGCGAAGCAGCAGTGAAGATAAGCAGCTGAAAACGAGCGAACAGCTCTCCTGCAAATGTAAATGAAGCCAAATCACTGCAGAGAATAAACTTACCAAGCAGCGATGTCAACAGCTGATCAACTTTGGAGTAACTGTGTGACATTTTGGGAAGTTTCGTTGTGCCATCTTCAAGCCTGGTTTTCAGTTTTGGCGCAGGAGGGCCAAACTCCAGAGGGGCTGGCTTTGCTTGTTAAAGGTATATTGCAATTTTACACCATTTTTTGTAAATATGATCAGGACACTTCGTATTATTTTCATTTATATAATAACTTAATATATGCAGTTAATATTTTATGGGGAACAGAGACAAATAAAAGTAAACTGAGAAATCTAACAAACTAGAGTCATGTTTTTGTAATATTTATTCAACTTTTTCGTTTTCTGCCTGCTGTAGCACAGCGATTTTCTCGTAAGCATAGTTTGTCTTATGTTCATGTTAATGTGGATCTGATGATATAAATGAGTCTACTAAAAAGTAGATTGAAAACACCCACAAGAAGATGACAAATCCCAAATCAATCAATCAAAGGAAAAAAAAAACCCCTCTAAAGACTCAGAGTTTACTGTGAAATAAGATGATAAAAAACTTAAAGTAATGGTAAAAAAAAATGTTTTTGCTTAAAATGGCTGAAGGAGTTAATAGATGATCAAAATATTAGGAAAAACCAATCAATAAATATAGAAAGCTAGTGGAGATCATGACCAATATATATTTATTTTATGGCTCAACCCAGAGTACTCCTAGTGTCAGTCCCAAGCCCAGTTAAATAGTGAGGGTTTCACCGGGAAGCGAATTCAGCATTAAATCTTTGCCAAATGAAAAACTGGCAGGGGGGTTAGTGGATACATCCGGCCGAAGATAACATTGAGCTGCCAGGCAGGAGGGTCAGAGGAAGACCAGGTAAGATTCACAGATATAGTGAAAGAGGAGATGAGAAAGAAGGTTGGAGAAGGATGACACGTTTGCAGATGATCCAATGGCTAAAGTAACAACTGAAGACTTGTGTCAAAGCAAATCTTTCTCAGTCAGAATAGCGAGGATTCATGAGCTCAGTGTTTCTAAAACCACCACATCTTTAATTACCAATATTTATATAAAAGCAACAGTTTAGGATATTCGAATAACAGTCTCTGATTGTATTTATTTGCACAGCATTTACAGTAAAACAAATGGTTACTCATAATTTTCTCCCAAAATGTACATTTACAATTCATTTTTTTATCATAACCCCAAATAGTGAATTATATGAAGCAGGAGGGCGAAAACTGCACAAAATCGAAGTATTTTTCACAGTCACAGTGTAACGTGCAAGAAGCCCTGCTACTGTGCTGAAACTGAATCTCTAAGGAATGCGCTGATGAACAATTACTGCACACTTGCAAATCACTAACAAAACCTCCATTAGACATGCTTTACAATAGGCTATTATATTACAGATGGTGAGACTGCCATGAGACCAAACACACCTGTACGACTGCGCTCAGAGTAGTGCACAAAAATCAGGTAATAAAACTGATATTTTTGGTTTTAATCTAAAAAACAAAAAAGCTCAGAAAATGCTTTCCTCCCCCTAGTTCTTGGACATAATGGATCACATCTACAGAAGACCTGAACTACAAAGAGTGTTAAGAGTGCTAAACCAAAAGGAGGACCGAGATCTGCAACGTAAGCTAATCATGTTGGATAAACAGCACCGATACACCCAGAAAATGCTTCAACAGCGAAGGGACAAACTG